TTTGATTAGTTTTCAAAAATCTGTGTCCAAGTATGAGGTGTCAGACCATCAAGAGTCTACAGTTTTGCATTATATTTGTATATCTAATTATCAGAATAAGGTTTCCTTTTTATGTTTAAATAATTATTGATAACATTTTGTACTTTCAGAATATTTTCCAGTTTTTTAAGCCAGCAACACTGCATTGATATACTCAAAGATCAACCTAATGGAACGGCCATTGTCAGACTATCACTCAACAGTATCAAAAACATTCAGTCTGAAGCCCCGTTGGCTTTTGTTACTGTACAGATTATCTTTAATTCTGTTCAGAGTATGTATTTTTTTAAGCATTAAGCACCTTAACTATTTTATAAATAAATAATTATTAGCCCATATAATTGATTTAAATATATAGCCACCCTCTTTAGTGGTGTCGGTTAGTTTGGTTAAATTGTGGCATGTAGTTCCATTAGATTTCTAATTATTCTAAAATAAAGCATATTTCAGGTGTTTCCGCTTGTAGAGTTGTTTTTTTTTAAATATATATTTAAATTTATATATTTATATTTAAATACAAGCTTCTAGTGTATGACTAATATAGTTAGGGTTAAAAAAGGTCACGTCCATACATTTTATGGGGAAAGACACTGGCATTATTACTAGATCAAAACCTCTGAGTACAACTTTTAGTTTAGGAGAGCTTCTCTATAGGCCTACAACTGTATAAGTAGAAGAGAGTGCTGGCTGCTGGGAAAAGTGAATAGATGATTATGGACAAGAAATAATTATTTTAAAAAATTATTGGTAGTACGGAAACTTGTCAGACTTTCCTCATAGATGTGTTCACATAAAGAAAGAGATATAGATATGTTTTTTTTCAATTTAACAAATAAGGGTGCAGTGGCTCAGTGGTTAAGAGTGTGGGGTCCAGGGTTTGAATCTTTATGAAGACTGGGGTTTTCAATTCATAATAAATATTTAGCATACTTATATTTTAACTGTGAACTTTGATTCTATTTATTTGGCTCTGTCTCAGCAACACTTGTCAAAGACCCAGATGAAATAAGGAGTCTGTATAGTTTTCTCTCACATATTAGAGGGGAAAAAGAAGAGCCCAATTTCTGTGTTCACTATGTGTGGCCTAGTTGTAAACAGCTGGAAGAATACAAAGAATGTTGTACTGGTGAGCTGTAGATTTGAAACAACTTTTTTGTCTTTCTTTGCTTTGATGACCTCTGGCATTTTTCTCTTTGAACTTGTTCATTGCCAACATCTAGTTTAAAAATCTGGAAATTCAGGCACGCACATCACTTTGAACTTAATTTAAGATATTTCAAAAGGCATTGTCAAGTCAGTTAATGAAATTAATTAATTATGCAAGCACTAAAATACATTAATACAAAATATAAAGGATGGCTGCCTGTTTGTGTTTTATCTGCTCTGGACTGTTATTCGATGATCTGGAGTTCATATCTGGAGAGGCCATCCACTGTTGTTATGCAGGAGGTTTGGCTAGGATGCAATTATCATTCAAAACATATAAAACAATCAATTCAACTCAAAAAGGTCAGAAAAACAAATCTTATATTATTCCATTGGCAAGAACAAACTCATATAAACTCTTACTCTGAATTAGCTAGGAAGACACTGACTGAACATTTGAGATTAACACATCTATAAAGTAGATGATAATTGTGAAAAGTTTATATAGAAACCTGAACTTCTGAAAATACAACACTTTCCTTAACACTTGATGGATTTGGCACGTGAATATTTGACAATTTTTTATTTATTGTCCTGCATACACACTGTCCTCCTGTAGGTCAAGGTGCACCATGTAGCACAGATTGCTGTTTAGACAGAGTTTACTTCCACCAAGTATAGTAGCAAAGAAGAAGATGCATGTTGAGGGAAGACGATCATATTAGTATGTTTCATTGAGTTATTGCCATGTAACTCCCTTTCATTGAGTTACTTGCCCTAGAGCTATTACTATGTGAAGCGCACATTGTATAAAACAAATATGTATTGCTTATTGCCGAACAAAAGATGTACTTTCTAATACAGTTTATATTGTACTACACATCAGTGCATTGTTTTTGATTACCAATCAACTAAATGGATTGATGCAAATTATATAGAGTGGCTTAAGTTAAATAGAATTGCTATGAATACACTAAAAGTTTGATGTAATAATGGCTTGATTCCCATTTCTTTTAATATTGTTTCAGAAAATGTCAAAAGTATTACAAACATTAATGGTTATAAACAAGTAACTAGAGAAGATCAAGGGGATATCATTGTATCTTGGTAAATTTTTTTTGACCAAGTTGTTAATTGCTTCACCTTATAGCTCCACTTTTATCTTTCAGCTTAGCATCCAAACTCTGTAGATTTTCACTGTCAATTTCCATCTTACTTTAGTATTCAATTTTTTTTTTTACCTGTGACCAATACAAATGAGATTGTTTAACTGAAACATTGTAAAGCCTTATTTACACCTGTTTAACTGAAACATTTGTAAAGCCTTATTTACACCTGTTTAACTGAAACATTTGTAAAGCCTTATTTACACCCTTTAACTGAAACATTTGTAAAGCCTTATTTACACCCTTTAACTGAAACATTTGTAAAGCCTTATTTACACCTGTTTAACTGAAACATTTGTAAAGCCTTATTTACACCCTTTAACTGAAACATTTGGAAAGCCTTATTTACACCCTTTAACTGAAACATTTGTAAAACCTTTTTTACACCTGTTTAACTGAAACATTTGTAAAGCCTTATTTACACCTGTTTAACTGAAACATTTGTAAAGCCTTATTTACACCTGTTTAACTGAAACATTTGTAAAGCCTTATTTACACCTGTTTAACTGAAACATTTGTAAAGCCTTATTTACACCTGTTTAACTGAAACATTTGTAAAGCCTTATTTACACCCTTTAACTGAAACATTTGTAAAGCCTTATTTACACCCTTTAACTGAAACATTTGTAAATCTTTTTTTACACCTGTTTAACTGAAACATTTGTAAAGCCTTATTTACACCTGTTTAACTGAAACATTTGTAAAGCCTTATTTACACCTGTTTAACTGAAACATTTGTAAAGCCTTATTTACACCTGTTTAACTGAAACATTTGTAAAGCCTTATTTACACCTGTTTAACTGAAACATTTGTAAAGCCTTATTTACACCTGTTTATCTGAAACATTTGTAAAGCCTTATTTACACCTGTTTAACTGCCAGTTATTGTTTCAATGAATGACTAGACATTTAAGTGTTACAATCAATCTAACAGATTTCTCTAAACTTCTCTTCAGGGATTCCCATAGAGGGCCTGTGCATGGTCCTGGAAACAAAGTTGAATTTGAGCAACCTTATGAACTTGAGAATGTAAATTTCAAACACCCTAGACTAGTTGCTCAAGATGAATTAGTGCACCAAAACAGTCATCCTCTAACCTGTCAGGAACCTCTCCTGAGTGCACAATATGAGGATTTGTCATTTGTCTGTCCAGATCCTAACACGGGGCTGCACAGTACTGAAGTACTCATAGATATTGATTCATTTGAAACACAAAGTACTGAACAATGTCTTGATATGACAGTCTTAGAAAGAATTAGCTGTTCTGGTAAACATTTAAAAAAGGATGTAGCATGGCATGGATTTACTCAAATAGACAGCAATGTCTATCTACTTGATGGCTGGGATGTGCACCACCCCCCTGGTGGCGGACAGTTGTCTCAGGACTTGGATGATCTTAAAGTATCTGATTTGCTGAACTTAAATAGTCAATTATTAAATGATAGAAGTTAGGACATACATTTGTTTTTGTTCTACATGTTTTTAGAAGTTCTTTCCAAATTAAAGTTAATTATAACATCTTAGCCCAAACCTCCCACAAGATGGTGGCAGGTTCGCACCCGGGCAATCAAGATGACAGTCCAGATAGCTTACCACACAATCAGTCAGCCATTTATAATTATACTTAATTGCATTCATTACAAATATTGTAATAATTGTAGATCTATAGTTTATATCCCTTTATAAATATTTTTTGATTGGTTTGTGCTCTGTTGGTTTATCAGGAGTTCAACTATAGATACTGAAAAAGTCAAGTGCTAGATTTAATGAATGGTTAGATTTGGGTTTGAAAGAGAAACGTTTAGGATTATAGTTTAAATATAAAATGTAGTCTATTATAATACAATGATAACAAAATATGAAAGTCAAGAACTAACATAAATATTATGGTTTCCTTTCATATAGCTAATCAAATTGAGTTTCGCCATTGATTAGGCAAGCAGTTTAAGGGAGAGTGCATGTGTGTTAATGGTGAGCCTCTAGAATTAATGCTTTAAACTTATGCTACATACTCATTTTAGCTTGGGGGGCACTGTTTAAACCAGCTATGTTTTTTTTTTAGCTAGATCATCTGAAGAGTTTTAAATCCAGGCTGTTTGTGCTAAGAAAAAATCCAGAGTTGAGCATGGCATCTTTGACCCAGAATTTGCATGCTCAACCATTCCGCTATCCCAGTACTCATAGTAGTGTAAATGTTGTAAATAGCCACGGTGTGATGCACAAATCTCAAGTGGAACTTACAGGACCCACTTCGAAAGTATCTTAATATCACACGAAATAGATCAGTGCTCACAAAATAAAACAATTTTTTGAAAGACTAAATGGTTGATATAAAAGAAAATGTTGACTTTTCATGCTGTATGCCATATTTTGTTTTTCATGGATTCATTGATATTAATTTTGTTTTTGTTCCAACTTTTATGAAGCTAACACTTAGGTTTTAAACATAACAAAGTTCAAACACACTGATGTATGCACATCATTTATGTAATATTGTGTTATCATATCCCTCTGTGATCACTGAGGGTACAAAGTACTTTGTATTAAATTGTCACCGTGTTGTTACTGAGAGTACAAAGTACTTTGTATTAAGTTATAACTCTGTTGTCATTGGGGGAAGGGGAACAAAGTACTTTGTATTAAATTATCACTCTGTTGTTACTGAGGGTACAAAGTACTTTGTATGAAATTGTCACTGAGGGAATAAAGTACTTTGTATGAAATTATTGTCACGTAAATAATAAAAACATATATGAAAACTAAATTTGAGTATTTTGTAGTGTCACCATAGCTTAATATTTTTATTTTGCCACTGACAATTTGGGCTTTCTTAATTGTAATGTCTTTCTTAATCTGTCTACTTTTTTATGTTTTTTTTTTTTTTTTTATGCTTTACACACATGATATAATTCCAGTTTTGCTAATATATTAATATACAAGGTTACACACATGATACATTCATGTTTGGCAAATATATGAAGCTTGTCTTTGAGTCTGAAGATTAAGGAGGAGTGTATTATTTCCCAGGGATGCAGTCCCAGCTGAGATCTGTATATCTAACTTGCTCATTCTGAAAACAGTGTTAACTGGTATATATGACAGCAAAGCTACTATGGTACAGCAATAATCATAATGTATAAACAAAGTCTTGACTAGTGTAGAACTGTGATTCAGGAACAGCTCTTTCTCTGACTGGCTCCTCTGTAGCCCAAGTGAATGCCAAATAATCAAATTAAACTGTTTTTTAAGCAAAGGTTGCTATCTTTATCTTTACTGATCATAGGCAGGAAGGAATTTATTGCCTGTCAGACATTCTTAAGCTTGAGTAATTATGCTGAAAAGAATACAATAACCATCTTACTGATACTAAGTTTGCATTTTGTGGCACATTTTTCTTAGTCACTCTCTTGTGCATTCATTGGTCCAAATAAATGAACAATATTAAGCTAATATGATTTGTTTCAGTTCTTAAATGTTTCTTTAACATTGTTTTAATCCCAAATGCATAACTTATTATACCTATGCTCAAATGCTGCATGCCATGTACAACTTACACCATTGCCCTCATTTTTTATTTTTCTGTGATTAGCTAGTAAATTGTAAAGTTGTTTTTTTCTATGTTAGTAATACATTCAGTTGTAGCTTTTTGTTTATCATGCCAAGGTTCACCTTTGTTTGGAATATTACACAAATCATTTTTTTTAAATTAGCAATCAGATTTCCACAAGAAAATGTTATGCTATTTTCGCTAATAATATAGTATGGTTCTTACTAATAACAATACTGTAGCTTCAAAATTCATGTTTCTATATTAATCATTTATGTATTAACACGGTTCATATAACTTTTGTGAAAACGAATTCCAGACTTTTTTCCAGACTTTTAAAAAATTCGCCTGAAAAGTATCAATTTTCCAGACTTTTAAAGTATGAAATCTGATGTTTGAAATTCCAGACTTTTTCCAGACCGTGTATAAAACCTGAATAATTAAGAATTGTTTTAATTACTGTTTAGACTCATATGACTTTTTATCACTATTATTGTATGTGATTGGATTGTAATTATAGTTTGTTAAAAATTTGAGAAAGATAAAACTACTACTTGTATATTTTGTTCTATGTTACTTTTTTTTTATTTTTTTTTTTTATTCCTGTTTATTTCTAAGACCAGGTTTTATTGTGATGACAGAAATAGAGTTGCCTTTAATTTGTAATAGGTATAGTTTAAAAAAATGTGTGAATAGATAAATGAATAGATATTGGGACATTTATTGTGTTTGTTTTTTCATGTTTATCATTATCATTAAAATCTACATTTTTTTTTTTTATTTTATTAGCATTATTAGTTTCAAAGGTTGTCATGGCCAGGGGTGTCAATGGGGTTAAGCTCCCATTGTCTATAAAATACTCCTAATGGCATGCGTCTCAAATAGCCTCTGACAACTAAGTCCAGCACCTGGCCTGCTCGTGTGGCTTAGATGTTAAGCCCGGCGAAACTGCTCTAACCGGTAAAGGCGGATACCTGGCGCCACAAAACCGGGAGCTTCGGGCAGATGGAGCTCATCAGCCTAGTAAGGCAGTTTATCTAGGAGAGGGGTACTCTGACTTCAAACCCCCGCTGCCTTGCGGTACTGAGGCTTCAGGAGACAACCTCGAGGAGAAATCAGGAGTGAAGCCCCTCCGGCATCTTCTGCAACTGAGTTGGTGCCAAATGTAATGCGATGCGTACCTTTGGATCACATCAGCAAGGTCGAGAGAGGGATCATGACACATGGGCCACCCATGACCTCTTTATCTAAGGCCCAGGAAAGCACCCCAGAGAGGAAACTATAGTGCTGCTGCAAAGCGGCTAAGACAACACGGGAGACAACAGTTACAGGTTGCCCCGTCTCAAGATTAAGCCAAAACCAGTGACTCATTTGGGCGCATCCATTGCCTTTTGAGACAAAAGGAGCCAAATATTTATTATTTTTATTGGATGTGAAAAAAAAAAATTAAATACTGTAAAAAGAAGAGGCAGGATTGATGATATAGAGGCAGATCTACAACAGTGTCTGGACATGGAGATGTAGGCTCTAAAGCCCAGGATAAATAAGACTGGAAAGATGTGCTAGAGCAGGCCAGGGCCCCTCCATGGGCTCTAGTGTCACTGAAAAGATGATGTATATATTGCTTTCGCAGCTCAGACAGACATTTAAACAAACATTAAGCTCAGCACAAAGTAGATTTTCTTCTTACCCAAATAAAACAAAACATTTGCTTTTTGAATGCCCCAAACTAACTTACTACTAGCTGGCCTCATCAGCTGGGTCTAACAACCTTTGTACAAATTTAAGTGCATACTAAGAAAATTAGTGGATCTTTTTTTTTTTTTATTTTTTTTACACACAGTGGACAGGCAATTTAAAAAAAACAAGGTTACAAAGACAGATTGTGTGGGGAAAAAAACTCAAAATCAGCCCTCGAAATGGTCCACCCAGGCAGGTTTCAATATTTTTAGAAAGAATGAAATTCTATCAAAGGCAGAGAAGAATGGAGAAAGAAGGTTGACAGATCTTGTGTGGTGCCCCAACGGTCCAGCAGACCAAGGGATAAGTGAAGGTGAAGTTAGAAGTGAACCTGACCTAATGATGTCTTATAATGAATATCTAATTGATTTGTAGAGCGTCAAAGCCTCAAAAAAAAAAAAAGCATTTCCAAAAAAAAAAAAAACAACCTTTAGTTAAAAGAGCTCCATGGCCGCTAATATACTCAGCGATAATATGAAAAACTACTTTTTAATTGTTGTTTTACATTATGTTACACTTATATGCATACTAAATAGATTTTTTCTCTTTAAAAATAAAATAGTATGACAGCATTTACTTCACTTTCTAATACAATTGTAAAAAAAAAATATTTTTTTTTTACAAAAAATCTAAAACTGTTTGCATAAATGTGTTAGAAATATGGTAAATAGTCATCTCCCTTACTTAATAGCCTTCAGTGTTTGTTACTATTAATAGTGAATAGTGGTAGAAAATGGTGTATTTTTTTGAAAAAACTGCTTGTATACTTGATTTTAAAAATATTTTTTTTTTCGCTTTCAGAAAAGAAAAAAGTAGCAGTTGCATCAGAACTTTGAATGGTCTAAAATATTTTGATGGATTTTCCCTATCTTTTCTAGTTTACGATATCTAAACGCGACGGACGGACTGACAAACCACGTAAAACTAATAGTGTCTTTTCCCCTTTCAGGGGCCACTAGAAATTGAGGTGCTCACAACATGCTTTTCCTGCACTCTTAATCTCAGTTATCATCTGAATTTGAATGGTCTAAAATATTATTATGTCGGATTTTCCCTATCTTTTCTAGTTTATGAGATCTAAACAGGACGGACAGACTGACAAACCACACAAAACTAATAGCGTTTTTCCCCTTTCAGGAGCCGCTAGAATTGAGGTGCTCATAACATGCTTTTCCTGCACACTTAATCTGTTACCATGTGGCATTTCTTTGTCTACACAATAAATGACTGACAATTTCAATCTACAGCTGGCTGATGTAAGAGATTTCTACTACCTAGGGCATTCTGTTTAATGACTGAATGGGTATCTTATTTCAAGTCTATCCACCCTGTTAAGACCTTTTTATTCCCTCTTTCATTCACAGCATTTTTTGGGGTGCATATAGTCATACGGTACGGAGCTGTTGATAAAACATTTAAGTTTTTACTTGAATATAGAAATACATATCTTTTTATAGTCTTATTCAAGCTCCATAAATATTTTGTTTTCAAAGATGCAGAGGAGCAAAACTACACAAAAATGGTTGTTCATATTGATATTTATTTCAAACATTGCATTGTCACTGCAGGTTCACATTTAAGCACAGAAGATTAATGTCTGAAGTCAAGATAGATGAAACAGTGTTGCGCACATTTTAATCACTTTATAAAAACCTTAATGGTCAGAAAAATAAATTCTGATACTGTTAATAGAATAGAATTTTCTAAATCATTTTATTAATGTACCATTATTTTGTTAGTTGATTAAAAGACCATGGAATGTGAACATGTTTTCAAATTGAACTGAACTGTCAGGGGACATAAGAGCTAAAACTAGTAAGGCTTCTGTAATTACCAATTATGATTTAAAACAACCTTAAATGTATATTTCTTAATAGTAAAGAAACATACACATCAATTCTTAGAATTACACAATTAACATCAAGGGATTTGGGGGGAAACTAGTTTGTAATAAAGCACCAATTACCAGCATAAAAAAAAAAAAAAAGTTTGGATAGAAGAAAACTTTATCTCAAGAAAATCATTGAACTAGTTTGAGGTAAATGTTACACAAATAGTTGCAAGAACATTTAGCCAAACCAAACTGTGTTATTATTTTATAGTTCTAAGTTACATCTATCTACTTTCAACACTTTTTTATACTTTAATACTAGAAGCAAAAGAAAAAAAAAAAAAGTATTTAATACACTTGAAAAAAAACTTATTATTTTATAGTTTCAAGTTACGTCAATCTACTTTCAACACTTCTTACACTTATATACTGGCAGAAAAAACAACAACATTGAAGACACTTGATTTGTGTGTCTAGATGTAGTCAAGTTCTAGATTCATGCTAGAGCACTTCTGATCAGAGCATGTTTAATACTTCAAAACAGCTTCCTCATGTTACAAAACTATTGTTCACATACAAGATTGTATTCCTCTTTTCAAAAAAACAGTGTCTTGTGCAGAAGATTCCAAATTACAAAATGATTGCTAATTATAACGGATGCTACAAAGATGAATATGACTGATTTAATATAAATCAGAATTAATAATGCGAAGGTTAACAATTTCATATTAATTATGTTATTTTTATTATTTTAAAAAATAAGGGGGCAATATTTTACAGTGAACCAAACGGAACAAAGACAACATGCAAAACAATATACACAATCCAATCACCCAACATGTAATAAGCCTTTCACAACAAATGAAAAGGTTTTTGGAGTTGTAAAAATAAATGTTAAGATTATTTAGTGTACCTGTAAGAGCAGGACTAACCCATCAGACACAAGGGATCTCTAAAGGAGCCTAGCATACCCTTGGACCAATGTGTCACACTAAAGAACTTATCTCACTTTACAACTTGTCACAATGACACGCAAAAAGAAAATACAGACTGGTAAAGTTAAAAACAGAACTACACACACAAATATTTGCCAAATAAGTGATATTAAAAATGTACAAGTCAACCCAAATGTAGTAGTTGTTTTAGCCATCAGGTGAATTATATATTTTTTTTTTTGTTATTACTTGTATTTATTTAAGCAACACCATAGAATCCATTGACTAATCCATTATGCAATTTGTTCCAAATTATTAACACTTCTCTGATTATACTATCAATTCCAAACACTAATAAATATTGCTTTAAAATGTCATATGCCGAAGTCTAAAACTGGTAAAAATGCCCCTTTCCTAACCCTAAACCTAATTCTTTAACCTCTAAATCATTTAAGAGTGAAAAGTACTTTTGATATTACCAGCTCTAAAATATTTAAACCATAATTGTAATTTCTAATCCAAGTCAATAATCACTATCTTACTAAAAAATTTGGCTGAAAGATCCTCATCTGTTAGATCAACAAGGTCTAAGTATTGATAGTTCTAGTGGCTACAATACATCTAATTAACAAGTATTTAGCTAAAATCACACTTGCTTCAACATTTATATCTAATTATTAGCATTTTGCACAAATAAAAAAATGATATAACGGATCTCTTGAAGAAACAAGATAATAAATTTTACGTTAAAAGGACCTCCATCACATTTAGAAACAAGAGAGTACCATGTATCAACATTTTTAACAACCATTGGAACATTAACTAATCTTCACCAGAGAGACATGATGCAGCTAAAAGATGTGCTACAAAAACACTTTTCTTCCTTCTGGACTGAAAGCATCTCCACTCTCTGCTATAGCTGTACTTGAAAATCTTTCATTTAAGCTTAGACCAGTCTGTGGATGTGTTTCATTTGATTTGAATGGTATACTGCTACATACATTTAAACAATCAATAAGTTTCAATATGATGAGAATAGTCTGGATATTTTTCACCAAATAAGATTAAGATGAACACATTGAATGTCGATTAGAATTGTTTGGATAAGTATAAATGTTAGGAATATTGAAACCAGAATAAAATAATTGAAATAATAATAATCTTTATTATGTGTTGAAATAAAAAAAATAACATAGTTTTAATTGATTTAAAAAAAAAGATAAGGCTACCATTCCTAATTCAGAAAACTGTATACTAATGAAACTAAACTTTTTTCTAAAATGTTACAGTCAAAGAAGGAAATCATAAATTCATAAAGACTTACCGCTGGTGTTGCAAACATATTCTTTTGGAACTTATAAGCAGTTGGGACGGTTGGTTTTAATAACTGTAACATAAAGGAAGACAAAGTTATAGAACTTTAAGGAGATTTCTTATTGTTTAAAAACTTATTCTAGATAATGACATGCAATAAATGTCTGCGCAAAGATTTTTAGAAGAAAAATGTTCATCTCCATCCAAGATTTCAGATTAACAAATGTAGCCAAAGTACTATTACCTTCAATTGATCCACTATAGACCCCTGTTCCTGTTGAACTTGCTGCAAGCTGTAATGAAGGAAACAAATTCTTGTTAAATCAGACCTGCATATGTTTCAAAAAGTGTAATTGTAATTAACTTTTTTTTTTTTGCTTAGTTCTAAAACAATTACTTAAGTTATGTTAGCATGAATTCTATTTTTATCATTCTCATTTATATGTTGAAGGGTTCAGATGAGTAGTCCTATGTCTGTGATGAACTGAGCAATCATTTCCAGATCTACATGTAGTTTTTGTTTTATAAGGGGGGTTTTGGGATCAGGGGCAGAGTCTTGTTCAGGCCTCTTGATAGAGTATGCAGCTTTGAAGGACATGGTCTACATTCTCTGGTGATACTCCACAAGGGCAAATCTCACTGGTCCCTATTTTAGCTTCTGGAACAGGTGTCTCATTCTGTTGTGTCCAGTTCTGATATGAAACCTCTCCAGTTATCGGAAGGAGGCGAGGTTCATACAAGGAACGGTGGATACAAGACAGAACATGGAAATTGATAGATGAGAGGAAAGAGGCCAAACGTAGACGAGATCAGAAAAATGAAACACAGGATCACAGCCTAGAGGAAGAAGCCTATAGGGAAGCAGATCTGAAAGTAAAGAGAAGTTGTCGGCGAGATAAACGGGACTGGATTGAGCAGAAGGGACAAGAGGCACAAGCAGCTGCAAGCAGAAATGACACAAAAACCCTCCATCGTATTGTCCGAGATCTCACTGGAGCAAAAAGTGGACATGGGGCACCGATAAAAGACAAGCAAGGCAAAACTTTGTTAATGAAAGAAGAACAGGATGCAAGATGGGTAGAGCACTTTAAAGAGACCCTTAACCAACTGTCGCCAGACCAAACTTACATATTCAAAGACCCCTCTCCAGACAATGATCTCAAGGTCAAGACAGACCCAATAACTGCTGAGGAGGTTACCATGGTCATTGCAGTGTCAAAGAATAACAAAGCACCAGGGCTAGACATGATATCAGCAGAAATGCTAAAATATGGGGGGCAGTGCATTGTTAACAGAATGACAGATCTTTTAAATCTCTGTTGGCGAACTTCAAAAGTCCCAGAGGACTGGCAAAAGGGAGTGATTGTAAAGCTTCCAAAAAAGGGCAACTTGGCAGACTGCAACAACTGGAGGGGCATTACTCTCCTCTCTGTCCCGGGCAAAGTTTTCAGCACTGTTTTGTTGAGACGGCTTCAACAGTCTGTAGATGAAAGGCTCAGAGAAGAACAAGCAGGTTTCCGAAGAGGCAGATCATGTACAGAGCAGATTTTCGTTCTACGAAATATCATAGAACAAAGTCTTGAGTACCAACAACGGCTAACGATCAGTTTTGTGGACTTCAAAAAAGCATTTGATAGTATCCACCGAGAATCACTATGGAAAATAGTTAGAGAATACGGTATCCCAGAAAAATTCGTCCAGATCCTACGACACCTTTACAGTCAATCTAGTTGCTGCATTAAAACAGAAGAGGGAACAACAGAGTTTTTTACAATCGAGACAGGTGTGCATCTTATCTCCCTTCCTTTTCCTCCTAGCCATCGACTACAAAATGAGGAGAGCAATGAACCAGACTGCCTTTGGTATTCCATGGCATGAACAGCTCCGATTGACGGACTTGGACTTTGCTGATGATGTTGCACTACTCGGGGCTACAAATAAATGCATTCAAGAAATGACGAAGAGCCTAGACAGAGAGGCACCCAAAATTGGCCTCCGCATAAACTTGGATAAGACTAAAATTATGCGAGTGGGATATAAGGCAAAGGGTGTCCCCGTCAGACTTGGCGAGTCAAAGCTTGAAGAGCTGGACAAGTTCACGTACCTTGGCAGCATCATAACAAATGATGGAGATGCTTACCATGATGTAGAGTGCCGAATAGGAAAGGCAGAGAGCATTTTCCAAAGGCTGCAGCCTATTTGGACTAGCCAAGCCATTGGACTCGAGACAAAAATACACCTTCTCAACACAATCGTCATTCCAACTACTACATATGCATGTGAGACGTGGAATCATCTGTCAAAATTGAGAAAAGACTAAATGTGGCTCAACAGAGATGGCTGAGACGGATTTTGGGAGTCAGTTACACAGATCGGGTCTCAAACAAGGAAATCCTATGCCGAACTGGGAGTCGAACACTTGGTGAGGTTGTGACTGAGCGTCGCATGAGGTTTGCGGGACATGTTCTACGTCAAAATGAATTATGCACACCAAGAGTTGCGATAACATGGAAGCCAAAACAAGGAAAGCGCAAACAGGGACACCCTCGTATTACTTGGCGACACACCTTCATGGAGGACCTCAAAACAGTGGACACCAGGTGGGAGGAGGCTTCAGACATTGCCAGTGACAGATCTTTATGGAGACAGCTTGCCGCCCAACGCGCCGAACGGCGCGGGAGGACCTAAGTAACTAAGTAACTGATATGAAATATATGTTGGTCATGTCAGGACAGCTAGTAATAGAAATTTGGATGAGAGTTGGTCCATCTCTCTTTTATTCTATTCTTTTTTATTTTTCATTTCTTCCAGGTAGAGAGGGTTTTTTGTTGTTTAGTCATTCTTCCATCTTTGACCACTATGTCTGCTCTTTCATTGATTTCTATTTGCAGGTGTGCTGGGATCCACAGCATGAATTATTTTAACTAATTAAAAAACGATTTGTCTACTATAACCAATATAGGTACAGTTGCCACAATTTTGTGATGGCAAATTCAAAGTAAAGAAGTTTGTGTCAATTGGCTAAGTTTTTGCATTACATTTATATTAAATAAAAAGATTTTCATTTACAGATCAGAATATATTTAAAAGGAAAT